TTAATGGTTAATTGTTGTTAGCCCCATGCACAAACCCATAGGTGAGATAGGGGGAAAAAGAGAGTGAAAAGGGCCCGGGGGCCCCGACTTTGGGAAATAGTACCCTATCTTCATAGTATGCCCCACAGTCTTGGAAATTTTCTTGAAATTTGTTGTTATTGTATGAAAAAATTTTAGTCTTTTTCGAGGTGGGGTTCCTAAGAATTTTCCCTCTGTTAGCTTTGTGTAGGTGATCCGTTTATCGTTAGTTAAGAGGGAAAATGTAGCTCTGTTACCAAAAAGGGAAAGAATAGGTTTTGTCAAGTTTGTGTAAGTTGTTAGTCCCCATCCAGGTAATTTTTCTGTAATTCGGTGTTTACGTATTGGCTACATGAATGGCTGGGGGGAGAAAACGTATGTGGTTTTCTGCAAAAAAAGGGGGGTTTGAGTAATTTCGAGCATTTGGGAGGCATTTATGTTAGGAGAAAGAGAAAAGGGCCAAAGGGCACTTCCCCGTGGGGGCACCAAAATGTAAATTGGTTGTGCGGAAGGCTTCCCCCTTTGGTACACATTTGGCTTCTGTTGGAGGGAAGCTTGGGTAGTTGAGGAGTGCCCTTAATACCATAGTGTGAAAAATTTTTTCGTGGAGCAAGCTGGGAACTGTTTCAAAAACACTAAGCAATGAAGATCCCCATGGGACTTCTTTTTTCTTATTGCAGTGTTATATGTTCTAGCTGTGTTAAAAGCATATTGATTTTTATTAGGCCTGAAACCAAATTGGCAGGGGGGTTTAGAATGTTTTGGGGGGATGGGTAGGAGTGATTTGTTTTTGAATTTAATTTTTTGAAGATTTTTGAGAGAGGGTGTAAATTGGTAATTTGGGCCCATAGTTTTTCAACTCTGTTTGGTTCCTCCTTTAAGATCGGGGTGACCCTTGCTATTTTGAAACTGAGGGAAGGTGGAGGATTCAATGGATTTTTTTAAAGAGTGTTGCAATGATTGGTGATAGTACCCGTGACGCTTTTTTTTTATATAAAGGGTGGTAAGTAATTTAAATCTCCTGCCTTGTTTTTCAAGGGGTTGATAATAAGGGAGACTTGTTGGGGTTTGTCGGAGTGGAACAGTGTGTTCGGGTAGTTGCCAGTGAGGTAGTATTTGGTGGGGTATCTAGCTTGGGATTTTTTTGGGAAGGTTTTGCCTATAGTGGAGAAGAAAACATTGGTCTGTTTGCTGTTTCTGTTTGTGGGGTTGGGGTTCATCTGATTTTGCTAATTTTATTTCGCTATGTCGTGTATCTTTTTGTTCCCAAATTTCGATAGGGTCTTCCCGGGTTTTTTTTAACCCCGTAAGTTGGATAATCTGTTCTCATAATACGATTTTTTTGCCCTTCTTATAGGCTGGTTGGATTTCGAGTAACATTTTGTTTGGTCTCTGGTTATGTGACCCACTGTACTGGTTTTTTTATACGGTGTTTTGTATTTATGGATTTGAGAATGGGGGGTTAGCCCGGGGCTGTTCAGTTCCTTACTGTATTTTTTAGTTTTTTTAGGCAGTGCTTGTTATAAAAGGGATTTGGGTTTTTTTTTGAAAATTATAAAAACATTCGTCAATTTGTAAAGATTTCAGGTTTTGACCAAATTGGTAATTTTGTTGTGGGAAATCTTTAGATGTTTATCATGGAGAGGTTTTTGTAGGTATTTGGATTTGAATTTGCTATTATAATTCCCCCCTGTTATCCCTTTTGCAAGATTAGTGTCTTCTAGTTTGGGCTGAGTAGTTTAAAAGCAGTGCCACCCCTTTTTGGCTGGCCTTCAGTTGTGTATGGCTGTGTAAACCCGGAATGGGATAGACATCTGTAGTATCAGGCTTTAGCCCGGTTTCAGTTTGTGTAATGATGGCCTATTGGCATGCAAGGAAATTTAGTAATGCAGGAGGGCATCATTAATGCTTGCTTAAAGATCTGTATTGTAGTTAAAGTAGTTATGTTTTTGTTGGCATGAGAAGTGCCTTTGTTGTTCTGCTTTTAGTAAATTTCGAACTGTTTGAAACATTTTTAATCATTAAAAAAAGAGGTTGGTATCAGGATCAATGCTTGAACATAAAATTTTTAGGAATCTATAGTTAGAATTTAAATAAAAAAAAAGAAATATTCTAAAGCTAAAAAAAAAAAAACAAATAGACCGAATTATTTAAAAATGTAAAAATAATAGTAAGGTAGTTTTTTAAAGAAAATAAAGGAGACAATATAAAAGGGACTAAAATAATTTGTGGTGAAAAAAAAAGTGATGATCAGAATGGAGCTTGGGAATATGTAGTAGGGAGTACTTTAAAAAGGGAATTCTTTAAAGTTAGAATTATAATTTTAAAAAAAATTTTAATATAAAAGGGAAATAAAGTTGTGGTGAACATTAAAATGAATCAAATAAAGGGCTTTGGAGTTAGGCAAATAGGAAATTATTAAATTTTGCACCTGAAATGCCCTTTATTATTTTTTAAAAATTGTGAATATAAAGAGCTAAGGTAGTTTATAAAGCTAAAAAAAGGAAAAAAAAATAAAAGGGATACAATTAAGTATGGAAACAAGTTAAATGGACAGATGGTCACTAGAAATAATATTGGTTAGGAGTAAGATCTGTTGTAATATTAAAAAAGTTTGGGGTTATTGGGAAAAATAAAAAGTAAAAAAAAAAATGAGGGGGGTTTGGGGATTGCAAAAATTTTTTTACTTGCAAAAAAGTAAAAAAAATGGGGTTCACAATTGCACACCAAAAAAAATGCTAAAAAAACAATATGGTAAACAAAAATTAAAGGCGAAAACAATAAAATTTTAAAATTGGATAAATTTACGTAACAAAATTTGACATTAATACATAAGAAAATAAAAAATAATATTTCAAATTCTTTTAGAAAAAAATAAATAAAAAATAATAATGCACAATATAAAGAAAGGTCATATATAAATTTTGTTTGGGATTTTTCTTTACAAAATCATTTTCTTGAAAAGAAAAGTTTTTGTTTAGTTTAATTTTTCCTGTTTGAGTTTTTTTTACAATTTTTCCCCCTCCTTTTCAGATGTATTTTGTTTTCTTTTAAGTTTTAGCCTGAAACAAAGGGTTTTACTTTTTTTTGAGAACTTTTTTTCCTTTTTTCATTTTTTTGCTGTTTAAGGGTTCCTTTTCTTTTTCGATGATAAGTTTGTCATTTTAATGTGTTTACTTTTTTTTCCTAGCAAACGTGTTTCTTTGATTTCACTGTTTTGCACGATGACTTGTACGTGGTTCTGTATTATCCTGACAGCAGTTTCTTTGCACTGAGCTTATGTTATGTCACTAGGAATGTGTGGACTGTTTATTATAACTGCATCAGACAACTTATCTTGTTCAGTTTTGTCGTCTTGGAAATCAAGGTATTCATTTAGTCGAGTGTGCATGTTCTGATTCCAGTCCTTGATTGCTTCTTCAACCTTCATATTTATTGTAATAATAATAATAATAATAATAATCTTTATTTACTACAAGTACATGTACATGGTATACAGTCCTAGCTGACAACAATGACATACTATATAGAAAGCCACTTGTTATGCTGAGCATCTCGGGCAAATTAGGTCAGTGTCCCAGGATGCGACCCACACCAGTCGACTAACACCCAGGTACCCATTTTTTACTGATGGGGAACATAGACAACAGGTGGAAAGAAACACGCCCAATGTTTCTACTCTGGCTGGGAATCGAACCCAGGCCCTCGCCGTGTGAAGCGAGAGCGTTAACCACCACTTCTTTTTTCTCCATTTATGGTTTTAACCTGCTTACTTTTAGCCCTAGCCATGGTTCCAATAAATAAAAGAAATGCCTCTCATTATGTAAAGCACCTACACAGTACATTATCCATTAAAGATAAGGTGGCTTTGAAACCACTGTTGGTTGCCATGAGCTCAGTCTCATGAAGCAGGAGAATATGCTTTATTATTACGCTAATATCAAGATTACAGCTTATTTGCCTATCACAATTGATCTAATATGACATAAGAAACAATATAAATAACATAAAACATGTTAAATACTCCAGAATGAATAATATTTTGGCATAACACCGAGCAGTTTCGACAGAGTTATGAAGAGGATATGGTAAACAAATGCCATTCTCCTATCCTTGTCTTGGTGGCTTATATTAGAGAAAACGGAGTATAGCACAGGGCTAACTATGATATACACTCGTTCTCCACCATAAACATAAAACAAAAGTTATTTTCCTCTAAGATTATCACACATAGCAGCATATGGTAGAGAACCTAGGAATAACCCCAAAAAAGTCAACGTGGTTATTTTTAGTACCTGGCTTGGGTTACCATATATGTTTTTTGGGTAAATATTCGATTCCCAGCCAGTAGAAACATTAGGCGTGTTTCTTTACACCTGTTATCTATGTTTACCCATCAGTAAATGGGTACCTGGATGTTTTGTCGACTAGTGTGGGTGTTATCCTGGGACACTGACCTAATTTTCCTTGAAATACTCAGCATAACAAGTGCCTTTCTATACAGTAGTATGTCAATGATGTCAGCTAGGCCTGGGATACCTTGTACATGTACATGTAGTAAATAAAGATATTAATTATTATTATTATTATTATTATTATTATTATTATTATTATTTTTATTATTATTATTATTATTATATTATTATTTTTTCATTGTTTGTTGGGTTATCTTATTCAAACTTGGGCAATGTATGATGGAAAGATACTTCTTCACGTACACCAAAAATGAAAGAAATCAGACCATAAATAGCGGAGTTCACTTCTCAGCCATTAGCAGCCGCTTAGCAGTATATTTTTGTATGGTTGTTACGGTTATATTCTCATTTTTTCGGTTTCATTTGATAGAATGAAAGATATATTACAGAAATAGATATGATTTTGATTGCTTTCATGATGAAAAGTACCATGAAATTGCGCTCACAGTAGCGAAAATGTTCTACTCTTTAGCGAAGCTCAAGAGTAAACAAATGACGTCACTGTCCAATACCTGTCTGCCTGCCAGTCTAAATTCCAGTACGGAGTCAAGAATGGATTAAGAGAGATAAGATAAGATAAGATTTCGTTCGGATTTTTAACCCCGGAGGGTTAGCCACCCAGGATAACCCAAGAAAGTCAGTGCGTCATCGAGGACTGTCTAACTTATTTCCATTGGGGTCCTTAATCTTGTCCCCCAGGATGCGACCCACACCAGTCGACTAACACCCAGGTACCTATTTGCTGCTAGGTGAACAGGACAATAGGTGTAAGGAAACGTGTCGGAATTTCCACCCGCCGGGAATCGAACCCGGGCCCTCCGTGTGTGAAGCGGGAGCTTTAGCCACCAGACCACCGGGCCACCTAAAATAATGCAGTAGTCTGCATAACAGTAAATCTTCTATTTTTTTTGTGAATAAAAATTCCAAATGGCAAGCAAGAATAATATAAGAGGGGCCTGTAGCCATGACTAATTAACAGAGAAAATGTTATTTTAGTGCCAGGAATGTCTGCATTGTTTATTCTGGATCCTGCTGTATAGTCCTTGTGGCTTAGCGCTTCTTTTTGATTATAATAATAATAATAATATTCTGGATCCTATTTTGAAATTGGCATCTGTTGAAATTTGTGTGAAATAGGCCAAATTGCCAATTTCTGACCACTTTATTGGGTAGTTGAAATAAGTGAATGGGCGGTTTCTTGTACTCAGTCGACAGACTAGAAGTAAATAAGTTTATTCAGGTATACACAAATACAGTTGTATAGATTATCATACACAGCAGTGTATGTATAGAGAACCTAGGATAACCCAGAAAAGTCAGACACTGACTTATTTCCAGTACCTGGCCTGGGCTTGCCATATTTGATTTTTGGTAAATATTTTTTTTTCTCGGTTGTTTGTTGGGCTATCTCATTGAAACTTGGGCAATGTATGATGGAAAGATGCTTCTTAACGTACAACAAAAATAAAAAAGACGGACGATAAACAAGGGAGCTCACTTCTCAGCCATTAGCCGCCTCTTTGCAGTATATTTTCGTATGGTTTTTATGGTTGTATTCTCATTTTTTGGACTCATTTGATAGAATAGAAGATATATTACAGAAATAGACATGATTTTGATTGCTTTCATAACGAAAAGTACCTTGAAATTGAGCTCAAAATAGCGGAAATGTTCCATTTTTGCCGATGTTCAATGAACTGTATAAGTCAAGTTGGTTAATTTTATTAAGTGTATTCTAACCTAACCACTCTGTAATTCGGCAAACTCAGTAATCCGGCACACTACAGGTCCCAATGATGCCGGATTTGTGATGGAGGACCTGTATTTTCTTTTTGTGGATATTGAATGATGATGAAAGTATTTTCTTTTTGGGAATTTTCTTTCTTTCTGGGTCACCCAGCCTTGGTGGGAGACAGACAACTTGTTAAAAAAAAAAAAAAAAAAATTGGCGTCATCAGCAAATTTGCTTATGTTGCTATTTATTCCCTCATCAAAATTATCATCTGAAATGGTAATGAATCTTTTTCCTGGAGAACAGACAACAAAAAGGCAAAATTTGATTGAAAACTTGCAGAATTACCCAGCCACAAAATTGACAGTCTGGATGCAATTTTGCCCAATTTGAGCCCTATTTTAAGCCAGTTTGACCCAATTCCTATCTTGCTACTGGCCTTAAATTTTTTTTTGATTGAGCATAAGAAACTGCACATTCATTTACTAGAACTACCCTGTAATGTGCACAGAAGGCAGTAATTTGACTAATTTTACACAAAATTACACAAATTCCAGTTGAAAAACAGAGCCCAAAATAAACACTACAGGTATTCCAGCCACTATAGCAACCTTTCCTCTGCTCATTTACCATGTCACCAGGCCTCTCCTATATCACACTTGCCTGCCATTTTGAATCAATCATCACAAAAGAATAATTAAAGTTTTACCCTGTTTTCTCAGATAATAAAATATAACCAAGAATGGTTGGTCATGGTTTAGGCCATCCCAATAATTGAAGCATACCTAGTACAAACCAATAAAACAGACCGAGAGAGTTAGAAATGACCTTACTCTTTCTCAGGAAAATATTGCTTAAAATTTAATATTTATACCATTTTCAGCCTTATTTCAAGCGATTCCAGTCTGAAACTGACCCAAACCATTTCTACTTTACTAGTACATGTATGTCTTCCAGTCTATCAAATGATATCAAGAAACTGCTAATAAAACCATAAAAGCTACTCTAGTAAACATCTTAAAGGTGCTATTTTAAACCAAATACAATGACAGTTTTGCATTTCCCAACTTGCATTGCATGGGACAGGATTTTTTATACTGTGCACACTCACTGCAGAGACCCATTCTCTCACGTTCATACTAAAATTTACCACTCGCATCATATCTGAGGGAGCTGTGCTTAAAACGTAGATCTATATGAGCAACACTGGCATCAGTGACATAAACCTATGTGGGAGACAGTGAAAGGGTTAATTAATTTATGGGGAAGTGCTAAACACAAAGGGGTCTTACTGAGCTGAATTCACTGGAGTGTTTCTAAGAATAACCAATATATCACCCTTGTAACCCGCATTTACAGACAAACAGACTCTGAGTTCATGAAAAGATACATACATCCAAAAACTACTCACCCAGGACATGGTTTCTCTAATCCTTTCCCATAGGTATATTTTCACACTTAACCCTTTGAGGGGCCATCCCATAGTTCTAAGGCTCTGAACCCAGGGTCCAAGTCCTAGTTCTATGCCATAAGCTCAGCTCACCCAGATAAGCTGTGAGCGGTAAATTTGGGCCTAGATATGAGAGAATACATCTGTGTGGTAAGTGTGCACCAAATAAAACAAATCCTACAAAACGCAGTGCATAACAAGAGAAAAAACTGCGACCGTAATTTTGCAGTCTTTTTTCATATGTTTTTTACAGTTGTATTCATGATTCCTTGGCCTCATTTGATAGAATGGAAGATATATTACAGAAACAGAGAAGATTTTGATTGGTTTTATTACTGAGAGTAGATTGAAAATGAGTTCAAAGTAGCAGAAATGTTAAATTTTTTCCAATGTTCAAGAGTAAACAAATGACGTCATGCGTCTAATACACGCCAGCTGGTGGGTCTAATATACATTCACGAATGTGCCGATATTATTTATAAAATTATTACAATATTGCATAAAAGTAAATCTTCTATTTTTTGGTAAGAATAAAAAGTCAAAATGAAATTCATTTGTAAATTCTGAAAATATAACTAATGAACAGAGGCAATGTTAGTTAAGTGCCAGGAATGCCTGCATTGTTTATTCTGGACCCTATTTTGAAACTGGAATATTTTGAACTTTGTTTGAAATTGGCCAAATTACCAATTTCCAATCACTTTTTTGGGTAGCTGAAACAGTTGACTGGGAGATTTCTTGTGCTCAGACGATAAAATAGAAGTAATACTAGCAAAGTAGCTAAGATTTTGGTTGACTGGAACAATGTAATTGGCCTAAAATGAAAATCATATTTGGCAAAATTGCAGATGCATAATTATCAGTGATGCAGCAAAATTCAAGAGCATAATTTCGTCAGTTTTCCATCAAATTTCGTACTTTTTGTTTTATTACCTTCAGCAAAAGATTCCCTACCATTTCATATGAAAAAAATAAATTTATTTTGAAAATTCTTGGACCCTGGCTGTCATTCTGAGATTTGGCCTCTGGACCTTCAAAGGGTTAAAGATGCAGGGAAGGATCCACAAACAAAAGAGAAGGAGCTGATAATTTTAGACTTCTCACTGTATAAAGAAAAAATTATGAAAATACTTGATGACATAAACACACAAAGTAAAGTTCAAAGTAACAAAAAAAAAGGCACAATACCGTGACTGGAACGATACACAAATAACCCGCACATAGAAGAGAGGAGCTTACGGCGATGTTTCGGTCCGACTTGGACCATTTACAAAGTGACTTTATAAATGGTCCAAGTCGGACCAAACATCATCATAAGCTCCTCTCTTCTATGTGCAGGTTATTTGTGTAAAGTTCAAAGATTCCATATAGACAGGGAAATAGAGAAAAATTTTTATGAAGCATAGAAAAATCTCCAGAAAATGCCTTGCAGCAGATCACTGTGTTACCTACTTCCCTCTATTCCCCACTTTGCACACATCTATGGACTATCTAAAACACAAAGGCCCAATATTTCTCTCTATCTTCTTACTCCTGGTGGATTTCAACCTAAGGAACCTAAAATGGAGGAATATAGCAAATAATGTTGTAGCTGAGATAACACCAGGAGGCAGCTCAGATAAAAAATCGCACACACATGAGCTTTTAAATCTCTACACCAAATTCACCTTAAACCAGCAAATAATAGAGCCTACAAGATTGGAGAAGAATACACTGGACCTCATCTTCACTAACAATGATGATCTGATACGAAATGTCATCACATCAAAAACAATATACTACTCAGATCACAACATAATAGAGGTCCAGACTGACAAAATATGATCAGTCACAATTGAGCCTTCACCAAATTCAACTTGAATAACAAAAACATAAGGTGGGATCAAGTAAACCAAGTCCTAAATGATATAAACTGGGAAGACAGACTAAGCAACATGGATCCTACCCTATGTCTAGAACAAATTAACTCTGACACTTGAGGTATGCTCAACATGACTCACGAAATCGTAATGACTCTCTGACCGTGGGTTCAATCCCAGCCGGGGTATGGTTAGGTATGCTCAAGGCATATTCCCTTAAGGAAAAGGAGGGGAAGATGTAAACTAGAAAGAGAAAGGTGCTCCCTATACAGGCAAAGGCAAAAACACAACAGAGCGGCTACAAGAGGCCAATATATCTGCAATACGTAGGAAGACACTGGTCAGAGAAACAGCAAGCGTCAAACTAAAGCTAAAGGAATCTTTCAGGAGTCAATAAACACGAGAAGAACTAAAAGCTATAAATGAAATTGAAAGAAACTCAAAGTATTCTTTTCTTATGCCAAATCAAAGTCTAGAACAACATCCAGTATTGTGCACCTAATTCAACAGAATGGGTCCTACACAGATGACAGCAAGGAAATGACTGAGCTACTCAAGTCCCAATATGACTCGGTTTTTAGTGAGCCACTAACCAGACTGAGAGTCCAAGACCTAAATGGATTTTTTATGAGAGAGAGAGACAGAATTCGGTAGACACACATCTATCTGATATTACCCTGATGACAAATG